TGTTTGATTTTAATATAAGTATAGAATTAAGGGATATTTTAGTAAAAATAATTTTACATTTATTGTATTTTGAATCTAGCAACCGACCACTACTCTAAAATCCTCTGTACAGCCCTGTACCAAGGCTGAAGCGACTGGTCATAATTGTTTAGTAGGAATGGTTAGAACCTAGGTAACAAAACATGAGGTGATTTGTAAACTGATTTATAATACATACATAGGACTAGAAGAATGCAAGTAGGTGTCAAGGTCCATGATTGATGGGAACTGAGGGAAGTAACTGTAACAGCTTGCAGGTACCTGCCAAGAAAACTGTGTCCTTAAGCAAAAGGTAATTCCGGCAGGGGGAGATCACGACCACCGATGCAGGGACCACCTACTCACATTAAACCCCAGACCCATTTCTAGACATTTCTAACCTTTACTGCGCAGAATCGGAAGTAGGAGGAGAATATGTTAATGATTTATTGGAAGTTGTATGCTTATGTATGAAGACTTAATGAATATGTATGAGTGAGTTCTATATAAGATGTATGATTCTGGTGCCTGGCACATGTTGTTGGTGAGAGCACTCCCCTACACGTCCGGCCGTCAATAAAGAAGTGTCTGCCTATCTGCATCAAATTGGTATCAATAAGTTATTTTTATCCTGGATTTCAGTGACAGTTTCTGGTGACCTAGATGGGACCTCGATGAGAGAGACCGGAGGAGTCGGGGACCTGATCGGTTCCAGCAGGCACCGAGGATTTCTTGGGGATACCCATCGATCCCCGATCCGTAAGGCTCTTCGCGACGTCCCCTGGATTTTGGCAAGACACTTCTCCTTTGTATTGGTTTTGTACTGGTTTTGCATTTGTTTTGGAAAAGTGGGTTAGAGTCCCACATTCGTTTTGGATCGGTTTTGCATTCGTTTTGGAAAAGCCTGCCTGTCAGATGTGGCGAAAGCTGCGCAGGGTTGGGCTAGAGGATCCTCGTGTATCGGAAGCCGAGGCGTCTGCCCGTAAGACATAAGCGAAAGCTATTGCAGGGTTGGACATTTGGATTTGGAAACAAGAGAACCTATATGCTATAGAGTTCTCAAAGGTATTGCCTCTAATGGAAAGTTAGAAGTTTCTATACACTCTATTGTGGGATTGGTTGTTTCGTCGATTGAATTTTGTGTAGTAATTAGAAACTGTGTTGTATTGTGTTATATACCTGTATTTGTCGTAGTAATTGTGGAAAGGTGTGAGTGTGTTTGTAAGCGTGAGACGTGCAATTGAGCACAAAGTGAGTGTGGAGTTCGGATCCGCGGTTCTGTTATCCCGCAAGGGGTGCAGCCGGAGGACGAAGCGATAGACTTGAGTGAGTGATTGATTGTATATTGTGTTAACAAAATAACTGAACCATAGCATCTAAGCTGACTCATTTATTTAAAAGTAGAAGTATGGGTAATCTTGCTGCAAATGACAAAGTTCCGAAAACCTCTCCGTTGGGATGTTTGTTAGCACACTGGGGAGATTTGCAGGATGATTTGTGGAAGAGTCAGATGATTGAATACTGTAATCACTGGTGGCCTCTGTATATTTTGGATGATCAGGGAAAATGGCCATGAATGGGACACTGAATTATAATACCATTTTGCAGTTAATGCTGTTTTGTAGAAGAGAAGGGAAATGAAGTGCCATATGTTGATTTATTTTTCCTATTTAAGACAAAGGAAAGATTGGCAGAAGGAATGTAAGTTGATTAGTAGAGATAATTTAGTAATGGCTATAAGTTCTGATGATAAAAAGGTGAAAAAGTGTTGTTCAACATGTGAACTTAAAAAGATTGTTTAAAGGAAAGAATTGATTCTACTGAAAAGGATGAAGGGCCAAAATTAGATAGATACCCTCCCCGCAGAGAGAACGACATTGGGGGCGAGAATATAGAGAACAGGTAGAGGAACCTGAGAGTAGTGGAATAGAGGATGTGGATGAAGGGTCGTCTGAGGTTGGAATTCATACCCCTGTATCTTGAAAGAACTCGGCAGCAGGTACAAATAATAGCTTCCCTGCGGCAGGGAGTTGGCAATGATGGGCCGGTGCATGTGAAAGTGCCTTTTTCAGTGATTGATTTGATGGCTTAGAAGCAGGCAGGAGGAGTGTATAGAGAGGATCCTGAAAGAACAGGTAGAGTAGTAGATACTATAATCAGAACACAGAATCTGGATTGGAGTGATTTACAGGTGATTTCAGCTAGATGATACAGAAAACCAGATGGTATTAAAGGCTAGTAAAGCACAGTCAGAAGTGACTGTATTGAGTGGGACAACAGGTAGAATATTAGAGCAGAATTTTTCATCTGGAGATCTGCAGTGGGGATCCAAATAATGTGGAACACATAAAAAGACTGAGTCAGTATCAGAAAGGGATTTTATATGGAGTTAAACATGCCATGCCTAAGTTTCTGAACTGGTCTAAATTATATGAGGTGAGACAAGGTAAGAATGAATCTCCCTCAGCAATTCTGGAAAGACTAAAAGAAGCTGCCAGAAAAGAA